CCCCAAAATGCAATACCTACAAATGCATACTTGATGCCATCTCTTTCCTCTTATCCTTCCTCAGTGAGTTATCTCAGTACAAACTTTTTAGGGTAGGGATCATGCATGTGCTTGCACAGTCCTCTGCACAGTGCAGTCCCTCTCCTGGTTGCAGGTTTCAGTGATATTAAATCATTATGGGGATGGACCCAGAAAAGAACTGCCATTTTAAGCATCTAAGTCCAAAATTTATCTCCTAAAAGCCTGAAGTCCCTAGGCAGATGTGCCTTTGCCAGTGCAGCCCCGTACATGCCTAAATGTCTGCTGCTGGGTGTGTTCAGAACTGCTTACATTTTGACACTGCCAAATAGCTAAGCACCTCTCTCATGTCTGAACCTGATAGGAATTCACAGATGGGGCTTCTCCCTCTGTTGCATGCAGGGCTCAGTCTGGCAGGCATGTTTACACTTACATAAAACAACCCACAGGAAGAACTGGTGGTGGTGGTGCTGGTTGCAGCTTCTTTCACTTGTGCTCAGTAGTTAGAACATTCACATGTGAGAAGGTTCAAGTCCTTCCTTTTCCTAGGGACTTGAACCTGTATCATTCACTGTGGTAAGGAGGAGATCCTGATCTTTCTTTCTTTTTTCCCTAACCAATAACCATCTAACATAAAATGCATAAACACTTTTAGGAACGGGGAGCTGAAGCCAAGTAGTTTCCCCCTCCTCTCAAGGAATGCCCTTCTTTAAAAGGTTACAGGGCCAGGCCTCTCTGAGGATCATCACCTTGCTGTGGAGAGGCTTGCGTGTTCCAGTGACCCTGAGAATGATGCTATCTGAGCTCATGCGCCTGGTAGGGCCACCCGTGGCAGTAAGGTTGAGGGGGAGGTTCCAGACAAAGACTGATCCAAGAAGTCCTCAATGGCAGAGCAGGCGGAGGAAGGCTGTGGTCCCAACAGCTATGAAGTCAGAAGAAAGCTGCAATGGAAAAGTGGCCCCAGTCATCGTGGTTTGCCATGCCACTGAACCCAGCCACCAACCACCAGGACTGCATTGACCTGACTGCGCACCAGAGTCCCCACGCTAAACATGCCACAGGCAGGCTTCCATTAGGTCAAAAAAAGCCCTGTGGCGATGGAGGATTGGCAATGGGGGCAGGGCTGTGATACCTGGAGGCCCCCAGCCAAGAATCTGCACACAGGTGACAGATGCGCGATGGTCATCGGGCACCTGTGTTGGGACAGGGGTGCTCTTCAGCAGCTGCATCTGTGGCTGAGCAGCCCTTTTTAGGATACCCTCTGCTCACCCTGATGGGGAGGGGGCTAGAAAAGGTGCCCCAAAAATAGGCTGTCCTATCTCTCCTGGCTGGGAAACCACACCCAGCAGGAGAAAGAGACCAACCTGGGGCTGCAAATTCCACTCCCCTGCTCAACAACATGCCCCCATTGCAGAAGAATGTGTGTATCCAGAATCAGGCTTCTCAGTCACCTGAGGACCCATCAAGTCTGACGGACATCAGCCTCGACTTTGAGGGACTGCTGACAACATAGGCAGGGTCTCTCTTGCTTGCTATCCTGATGTTCTCCTCCCTGCCTGGCACCTATATGCTCCAGGTCACCCTTTGGAGGCAGCTCACTCTTCCATGCCTGCAGAGGGATTCTGAGTGCCTAAACCTGTCAATTTGGGTCACCCTCCTGGAGCCAAGTGCCTTAACTGTGGGCACTGTGATGTCTAAGTGACACTAGCTGCAAGAATAATTTGGATCTGACTCCATGTGCCTCAGTGACCCCATTGATACAGTGAATGAGACAAGGGCTCAACCTTGCCTTTAAGAAGAGATAATTAAAACATCAATGAAGACATGATTTACTCATTTACAACATTTAAAATAAAGGAAAAAGAGCAGAGAGGAGGATGTCATGTTTGTGCCTTTAAGGCCCTTCCAGATTGCATGCAACACTTTTCAGGATGTACCTGGACCATCAGCCCTCCCAAAATCTGCTCGCTGCATGACAGATTCTAAACTTGCAGCACATCCCACTGTTTTAAACAACACCTCTTCTTCTTTGACCAAGGGCTGTGTCTATACTGGATGAGTCCTAATTAATCAAAAAGATTCCAGAAGAGTAGCACACTGTCAGGGTGTGAGCTTTCACATCTTTTGTATGCTAGCATTCCGTTTACCATACATATTGGTTTATCAGAGGAAGGCAAATTCTGATTGAGTCTTGATGATTCCTTGTATATGCAGAATGCAATTTATTTTAATTAGTGTATGACTTGCATCTGCATAGACTTTTCCTTCCAATTTCCTGAAGAAGTATAGAAAAATGTGTTCAGCAGAGTTGAACAACACTCCCTGTGGGAGTTAATCAGCCCATTTACAGATCCTGAGTCAGAACCTCAGCTCATGTAAATCAATGTGTGGCTCCATTGACTGGAAAGAAGCTAGACTGATTTACACCAGGTGGGCATCTGGCCTCCTGTTCAGAGGGATGCTTTAGTGCATGGGTTGAATTAGAATAAGTAAAAGCTAAGGAGAACATCACAGCAGTTTTGTACTTTGGAGTGAAATAAATTGAATATCCTATTTGGCTATTTTAAAATCTGGATTACTGAGGAGAAAAGTCCTTCATTCTTCTCTTGGAAAAAGATTTGTTCTGCCATATATATTGTGTGTTTTTGGCTATGACATAAATGAGAGTCAAGGAAAGAACATAAAAATTAAAGTAGGTTTATCTGGAGCACAGTGCCCTCAATATGTCAACAGTCACTTTTTCAGCACTGGCTCAATAAATATAGAAGTCTTTAATGGCTTCTTACAGCCATTCAGTTGAGCTGACTCTGATTTGTGCACTGTTCTTCAGTGGACTGTGCTTCTTTCTTAGTATTCTCCTTTTGAGCTTCATCATGATGTAGTCCTTGCACTGTAATGTAACCCAGGTACACCCAAGGGTGTGCCCTATTCTCAATTGAATGAGATGAGTAGGCAGGAGGGGGGTGCTGTGAGAGAGATGTCAGAATTTCAAGCAGATCCCTCTTTCGTCTATAGATTTAGCCCAAGCCCAAAGTTCTTAACTATATACAATTTATTGAGTTATAATATACATAAATATAAAACTAAATATTATAAACATATATTTACACAGTGAACATTAACCAATAACCAAGGTCAAACCCTAAATAACACTATTTACAACATCACAATACAACATTTCAATTACAAAATATAAGGTGCAAACATGAACAATCTTAATAAAACCTATTCCTTAATATAGTCCCTGACCCATGGCAAGAGATAGTCCTCCTTCCAATGGGGTCCCTTGGGGGCGTCCAGGAAGCACCAGGGACCTCTCCCCTTAGGGTCTTGACTAGGTGGGGGGGCTGCTCACCCAGCCCCTTCTCTGGGTTTGCCTGACCCAAATATCTATCCCTGTGGGACCCAAGGGCCCAATGACTTGTGCTCCCTCAGGTGACAGTGGTCAGGGCGCAGCTCAATGGCGTCTCCTATGCTGAAGCACCTCTCCAGGCCTCTCCTGCACCGCTGGGCTCCTCCCCACCCTGTGCCCTGCTATGGACACCAAGGGCTCAGCTCCTCTCAGCTACTGCACCACTGCTGCTGGCTCCTGGGTGCTGGGCCTCACGCTGCAGCACTACCATTTCCCTGTGCCCTGGCTCGGCACTGCAGAATCTCTTAGCACAGGCCGGGCCCTTCAGGCTCCGGCTGGCTGTCCTCACACCAGGTGGCTAGCCCAAGCAGCCTCCACTGCTCCCTGGCTCCCAAGGGGCCGGCGCCCCACTGCACTTTGGGACCTGGCCGCTTGCTGGGAAATGAGGCCTGAGCCGCCTCACTGCAGCCCCAAGGTCTTTGCCCTGTGTGCTGCCCCATGCACTGTGTGGCCCACTGGCCCTGCTGGGGTTGTAGGCTCAAGCCACCACTTGCAGCTCTCAAAGCCTTAGCTCCGTGCACCGAACCGCACACCATGAGGGGCTCGAGCAGTCTCACACCGCTCCTAGGGCTGGGACTCCGCAAACCATCCCTGTGTGCCGTCAATAGCCCGAGCGGTCTCGCACTGCTCCCAAGGCTGCTCCTCCAGTGGCAGCTTCAGGAGCTGTGGGCCTATTGCCCACTGGGGGAGAGCTCCCCAGCTTTTCTTGGCTCTGCTCTTCTCAAGTCCCTCGCTGCATCTGCCCCTCGTGCTGGGCATGCAGCTCCTTTTATACGCTCCAGGGCTCCACCCCTGAAGTCTTCTGGACCTGACAGTTTACAGTCTTCAATCAGGTCTGGGGGGAGCTGTTCTCCACCCCCTCCAGCAAAGGGGTGTGGCTTTATTTCTCCTGCTGCCTCCTGATTGGTGGATGGGCTCCACCAATCAAAACAGCAGGATCTCAAGCCTGGTACTCAACCCAAGCTCTGAAAAATGAGCTTGCTACAGTAACATAGTGACAGTGAGGTAGATTCACAGGCCTAATTCTCTTAATATCTACCCTATGCATTCAAGAGAAGCTCTATTAAAGTCCATGTAGTTACACCACTATAAACTTCCTTAAATAGGAGGGATAGGCCCTCTGTATGCTTTATATGTTCATGCTGTCGATTCCAAAGCTGGAAGTAAAAGTTGTCTTAATGGTACAGGCTGCGGGTGATTGGTTCTTCTTCACAACTCTATATGTAGCTCCAAGTCTCCTACGGGAGAGGTGGTTCTTGGTGATTTACGCTGCCGGAGGAGCACATGAAGCAGACTTTCCAATAGCGCTAGTCTGCAAACCTCCCTGGATTACACAAGCAGAGCAGAAAGAGAGAATGAAGCTTGTTTCATATAAAAATGGTTTCATTTCCTACCTGGGAAATCAAAAAGTGAAAAATAGGTGCCGATCTACAGTGCTTCTCACCATTTACTAATCTTCAGCTGTGAGCTATAGCTGAAGCTCTTGAACTCCATTTACAAATATTTCTTAGTAAAAATTATCTGGCAGCAGAACCTTATGCTTCCACTTTATTTCATTTTGTATTACCAGGTCCAACAGATCTCAGTATGAAGAGGCAGTTGGCAACCAGCTCTGGATCCTCCAGTAGTACAAGCTCGAGACCCCAGCTGAGTCCAACTGAAATAAATGCAGTGCGGCAACTTGTGGCAGGGTATCGAGAATCAGCAGCATTTTTATTGCGTTCTGCAGATGAACTGGAAAACCTTATTTTGCAGCAGAACTGAGTCATGTGACATTCACACTGGTCTGGTCTTAGCTTGGAGTTTCCACTAATGACATTTTGATTTCCCAGAGCAGACACTTCACTTACTGCACAGTCTTTTAGGAGAGTTAATTACCATAATGCCACACTGTTCTTGATCCATAAAGTGATGTGTTAAGGTTCTTCAAGTGAACTTCGACCTCTGATATTTATGAGGTACTTTAATGTGTCCAGCATACTGCTTTTTGTTTTAGTGTGTCAGCATAAATATTGAAAAAGTGGCTATAGATTGTTAACTCATTCTAACAAGTGGAGGAAACAGAAGATGCTGTGATGGCAAATATTGGTTCAAGATCCACGTGCAATATTAGTGGAATGTGCTACTGACTCATTGGACTTAAAGCTGCAGTATATGGCAAAACATTGCCAAATGTCCTGTTACTATAGGACAGAATCGCAATTAAAAGGATCTTGTATTTTAAAAAAAATGTAATTTTTATAAAAAACAAAACAAAAACTTTTGTTTTCATTCAGAATTTTTCATTTTTACTTTGGTAAACTTTTTCACTGGTCCTACAAATGTTTTGAGGAGCTATTGTAAGTCCCCCTTTTCCTCTCTGGAACCCCTGACTGTGCCCTTGTCTCCACCTTCATATTCTTTCTACAAGAAGTAACTCAATGCTGGATAACCCTTCCCCTGTGTACTGTAAATTCTCATCTTTGGAATGCCTTCCAAAAGAAGCATGCATTTCATGCATTCATACCATTCTCAACTCCATCCTGTAATATATTGCAGCTTTATTAGGAAATTAATAAAGGGTTAAGGGTTTTTTTTAAAGACATATCACTGAAAAAAAAATGATTTCTTACAGCTAGCTCATTTAACTCCACAATTGCTGCTGCTGTCTTGTATAAGTCCCTCTAGTAGTGATTGGATGCAGATGATTGAATGTGAAGAGGTTGCAAGTGACAATCTGAAAATTTGCACTCCTGTGTGTATTTATTTTTTTCCTTATTTAAAGAAAATACATACAGAAAAAGGCCATTAACAATTCTGTTATGATTTGTATAATTCCCACGCCTAACTACGGTAAAAACTGTAAATGGATGCAGCTGCAACTTTAATTAAACTCTTTCCCCCTTCTCCACTCCCCCATCCCCCCTCTATTTCTTGTTTTATAATGTTGATTACACATTAATGGTGTTTTCTTTGTGCACTAAGGCAAGCTTATTTTTAAGTATATAGAGAAAAGTACTTTAGTTCTTGCTTACTGTACTGTCTGTTCTGTTGTTTAGCTTTTGTTGAATAACAAGTTCCTTGTGCATTCCTAAATTTGCCTTATTTCATGTAATTCAGTTTTTGACAATGAGTTTAAGGCATCGGTGATATTTTATATCTACTTGTTACATATAGTTTTCCAAGTAATGACTGTGATTGTGACTGAGTAATGTGCACTTTTTCTTGTAACTGTGGACATTGCTATGCTTTTTTTTCTCTAGTGTTTCTAGAATTACTGTTGCTTACAGTTATGTAAAAGAAAAAGAACTTTTGTGATACTGTTGGTGAATATTAATGTGAAAAAGCCTATGAAATATGAGTATTTTGCAGGTACATAGATACACAAACATCTCTACGCTGTGGACTATTGTTCACAAATTTAAATGAAAATTCAAAAACTGAGGGCTGGAATCATTTCCTCTGTTTTGTTTGGGTAAATAAACAGATTTCTGTGTTTAAATACATGATTGTGAAACGTTCTAACGTTTAAACTGCTTAATGAGTTATGAACAGTTTTCTTTAAACAGGAAAAATGGACTTCCACTGTAGTTCATACAGGTACTGCAGTCATTTCTCAAAATTATTAAGCAAATCCAGGAGGGTGCCATAGCTTTGTTTTAATGAAGAATTTCTTCAATAAGGGTAGAAACAGGTGGTGCATAAATCATGACACTAACATTTACAATTTAAACTTGGCTTTAGGCAACAACATTAACTGGTAAAATGTATTCTTAAAATGCATTGAATGTATCTTAATGGTACTTGTATATCAGTATGTGAACATTGTAACCAATTCTTGTTAGTTGCTGCCCATCATTTAATAGATGTATTTTCCCGTAGTGTGAATAACCATATTCTCACTACTGTCTACAAGAGAGTTCTGTAGCTCACTCCCTAATAGAGATCATGTGCTAGTCTTTCCCTCTAGTGTCAGTCAGGCATTGAAGGATCAGTGAAAAGCTAGAGGCTTGATGCCAAGCCCCTTCCATTTTTAGGCAGTGTCTTCAGGCTCTTTTGTCTCTTTCTGCCCCTAAATTAGGCTGGTAGCAGATGCTTCTAGCTAAGGTATCATCTCTAGTCCTTGGTTACAAAAGCCATGGAAGTGAGCACAGTTAAAACAAGAAGGGCATAATGATCCTGAGCCTATAAGGTTTCTTTAGTCCCCTTTTGCAGGACTGGTGCACCTGAATTGTCTACTTTAACTCCAAAGTCTAGCAAACTAGCTGTTTACCCACAACAATGAAACACATGTGAGTGGTGGCCTCACTGTGCTTTGAATCTCCTTTGATAAATACCTCCTAGATCTGGATAGGAGGCCAAAGGCAAATGAGGATGAGGAGGCAAGACATTGACTTCAGTACCTGCCCCCATTCACTTGTTTTTCGAGGGGAAGAAGAGTATCCTGAGACCATCACGCAGCTCAATTGAGCTTTAAAGGCCTCCGTATAAGAGTAAAGGGCTTAAGCTGTTCTCCTTCACTGTAGAAACTCCCCAAGAAAGCCCTTTCACCACCCTTCTCAGAAGCCTCCAGACTTGTCCCCGACCTGGGATGCAGCTTGTCTCCCACATGACCCCAAATATTCACTTAGTGATATGGCTGGCCCTCAGGAAGGACCTTTATGATTCCTTACCTCGAAAAATGCCTCATCCAGGTTGTGTTCCAGCAGGATGCACATTTCTCTCAGACATGAATGCTGTGTGCCCCTGGTGGCTGGGTGGGGGGCACAGCGGTGCTGACAGCGGTGGGAGCGTGGCGGCAGTAAGTGGGGAGTTCCTGCAGACGTCAGCAGCGGGGGGGCCTGGCAAGTGCCAACCAGGGGTTGATGACCACTGACAAACACCACCATCAACGTCAGCGGTGGCCAGCAGCGATCACTGACCACCCGCAGGCACCACTGGCAGTGTCAGTGGCGAGGAGGGGGGTGGCGAGCGGCAACCACCCACAGGCCTTTTCATAGGGGGTGTACTGCCACACTCAGGGGGTGCACATGCACCTGCATGCACCCCCTACGTGTCACCACTGCTCTCAGAACTAAGTCTCGCTAGCAGTGACTTAGAAGAAGAAAAGCTCACTCATTATTTCACAGTGCAGTATGGAATGACTGTAGTCTCAGCTACAGTTTAGCCTTCCCCATTTCCAGGAGGATCATATTATAAGATTATATAGTATATTATAGGATTATATTAGAATTTATGGTCTAACCAGAAGTTCTAACAAAATTATAACTCTCAATCTACTCTGCATGTGAAAACTGGGTACCCAAGTATCTTGCCACGATTTGGTTTGCTGTGCCCTGCGTAATTCTCAGACATCTCTGCCCTGAAAGCCTTTCACATCCTAATGAACTAGAACCTCCAGATTAACTGGCTGAGTAGCTCTCTCCCCATGGGGGAGATGGGTCATTCTGCACAGGAATCATTCAGAACCTTGATTCCTTTTTTCCCTGAACCTTTTTGAATCCTGACCCTATCCTGTCTAGACAACCCAAACTAAAATCATACGAACAGAATGGCCTGTCTGCCCTTATGTTTTCCTTCTTCCCAAAGCTCTGAAGGGTTCTAATGAAAGCGCAGAACAATGGGTGTTAAATAATCCAAATTACTGCAGAGTGATGGAGGAGAGTCTGGTTTGCTCAGCTGCTGTGGAAGATGCCCTGTCTTCCTTCTAGACAGTGCAGATCCATTCCAGCAAGGACCCATTCTTCACTCCTCTCCCCCAGTGTTCATATTCAAGCCCTGATTCATAAGAGCAGCATCCTTTAAGAATCAGGGGTGTGATCTTCATGGTCTTGTTTCATTAAATATATGGTTTACTACAGAACATATGCTATAGGTTCTGCCTGGTATAGGTCCCACTAGGCCCAGCCTAAAAAAGCGTTCTTCCCAGATATGCTAGATTTTCCCCACAGTTGGGCCTGCAAGCCCAACCTTTGATTCTTGATGCCCTTGTGACTGTTATTAGTGAGGAACTGATGAGGATCTATCCCAACTCACTAGATTTCCTAAGGCCACATCCTAATTTAGTCCAGGTGGTAAAATCCCTCTCATATTGATTCCTATTCTCAAAGGGCTGTAGGCTTATAAGACTTATCATCCACACTGGGAATGCATTATTCAAGCACTCTTTTTCCTTTATTTTTTCCTTACCTGCCAATTGGTTTTCTTTGGATGGCCACTTGTAAACACCTACCTTATTCCTCAATGTGAGGGCAAAGGGACCTGTTTAGGAACTAATCAGATTTATTTGTAGTTTCTGAAGTCACCACAAGGAGAATGGACATGGGGTACTTGAAAACAAAGTCACTTGGTGTCACATTTCTTACATGTTTTGGTGCCTGACTGTCAACAGAGGAAAGGAACTGCCCATTATATATACTGGATTTCAGAACCACAGAAAACCAGTTATCAGGTAAGGAAATGTCTGTTCTGCTTACTATTTGCCTGAGTTCAAAGGCTGAATCCATCACTGGCTGTCTGCTCAAAAACTGAGGAACTTAGCCATGTTAGCCTGAAGATAGGCAGAAGGCAGAGCAGGTTTTCTTAGGCTAAGTACAGACAATCAAAAAGCCCAAGACTCAATCGATTAAATCTTCACAGGTTAATCTGAGCTACATATATTGAATTGATAAGCAAGTGAACAAACATTCATTTTTTATTCCAGAAATGCAGCCACATGCCTGAAGTGGCCGAGGCCAGCAGGCAAGGGATGCTAGAGCATGTCTCCCTGCTCCATTGGAGCAGACACCTTGAGCTAAGGCTAGCCCACCCATCCTATGAGAGAGTGTTTGTGGGGGAGATGCAAAGCATCCTGGGATGCTGGGGAACTGTGAGTTAACTTGAAACTGGAGGGGATCTGGGACAGAAGTTCAATAAATTGATTTAACCTAAATCAGTTAAATCTGATACTACACTCATCCAGGCTTATCTTAAACTGGTGTGGGTCATTTTGAAAGCAGTTACTGTACATTGAACTTCTGTTGTGTTACAGATTTGAACCAGTTTCTGATCAACTATGCACATTAATGTGTAATTTCTATCCCTAGTCTTATAGACTAACTGGTTTAGAGAGGCATGAAATTTTGTAGGGTAAGCTTACTTCATCACTATGAAAGTATGTGAGAACTAGAAGACTAAGGTCACATCTAAGAACTGTGAAAACAAGTTTGGAGTGCATAATCCCAGGTGTTCCTGCTACCTCAAATGCCACCCTTCCACTTCTAACACCAAAGTAGGATGCTTTTTTTACAATGATCAGTGAAATTTCTGACTATAGTTTAAGCAAACCTTTGTCATTTGGCTCCAGTGTTGGGGCTCCATTGAAAAGAAGGAACAAATCCCTCTTCTTAAAGATACTGACATGTTTTAGACTATCTGTAGATTTGGTGAGACATTGCTATCCTCGTCTTCAACAGATTGGCAATCACAATGAAGAGAAACTTATTTCTACTTCAATCTGATATTCTAAAGATACAGAAGATGTTGGGCTACCAGAGAAGGTCTATCTTCACGTTCAGCAAATCAAAATAGTAATAAAAACTCCAACCACATGAAACAATGCCACTAATGCAAGGTGAGTGATGGCACAATTCAAACAATGCCCTGCATGTGATGGTGGCGGTGATTATTTGTTATGCAAGTTATGATATCATGTAGAAGGCCAAACATGATAAGGGCCCTTTACAAATAGAGTCTGCCACAACCCTGTTCCAGAAACTTGTAATCTCCATGGATAAAATTAATGCTGGGGGGAGAAAACCAATGTCACCCAGCAAAAGAGTGGCTGAACTAATAATAAAAGCCAAAGATTCTGACTTCCAGTCCTATATTCTATCCACTAGACCACAGGCTACTATAGCAAGTTGTAGATGTAAGATATAA